TGCCTGCACACAGCAGGACTTATGATGGGTACACCTGTTTGCTGTAGGATCAGAGGGCTCGCTAAAAAAGAAGATAACATGACACATTGCATTGCACAGTAAACAGATGTGTTATAATTCTCTCAGTATGTTTTTGTTTTACAGATGACTTACACGTGGTGGCAGTTCTACCCCAGCCAGTGGTGAAGCAGCGGGTTCCAGGCAGAATGTTGATGGTTGATGGAGCCAGACATACAGGAGAGATACGGGGAGTCAGTCTGACTGGAGACGACAGTCTCAGCAGAGCAATGTCATTGTTGATAGTCGTGCTGCTGTAGAGCGGATGGGTGATGACCTGCACATACAGAAAAGAGGGATCGATGCTGAAAGCTGCCTTTATAAATGGTGAACTGAGATATAAGCTTACTTTCTTTCTGTTGTTTTAACACTTCTATTATTTCCCCTTTTTTATAATACCTCTATGTGCTGAGAATTTTAAATGCATGCTAATAGGTGATTTTGGCAACTTTTAGGAGTACACTATCATATAGATGACCTCAATACATCAATTTGGAGAATGACAATCAGTATGATTTTTTTTGTTTACTTCACACTTTTTAACTTATTTTTTTAAGTGCTTTAATATTACGTCAGCCAATAAAACACACAACTGGATAACCTTCAATACATCAGCCATTCATTTGGAGAAATATGTTACAATTACTCAAAGTAAAAAACAATTATGAAAATACTTATTTGAAATACTTATTTTCAAAAATGACAAGAAATTATTTTTATTATTATTATTATTATTATTAATAATACATTTAGGTAAAGTTAAAGGATAATTTGGGTGTTATTATGTAAATAACTTTTTGCTTTTAAAATAACATAAATAATCAGTATATTATGAGTCATAAAGCATTGGTTGATCACTAATTTTGATTTTTGATTTAATCTCTGATCCACTGAGATCTATAAACATTGTTACCTTGGAAACTAATTTGACCTGGATGGGTTCAACACTGGAGCCACGATCATGTTCTCCAAGAATGACACGGTGATAGCCGACCCTGAAATGAGAGATAAAGATAAAATCAATGGTTAAAAGACAGACAGAAAGCTGAAAGAGCATCTATGAACCACTACTGAATGTGATGTTTGTCAGATTGAAGACTCTTACACGACAGCGCAGTGGGCAGCAGTGAGAACCCAGTTCTGGTTGATCAGAGATCCTCCACAGAAGTGGAAACCACTAGGCAGCTGTTTCAAAGGTAAAAGCATTGAAAACGTGAAATTTACTCTTTAAGCAAAGCAGACAAATGTGTGTTTGAAAAACAGATGAGTTACCTGAAGAGAGACCTGCCAGGGCCAAGAACCAGAGAT